CAACCATCGCCACACCAACGTCAACAACCACTCTAAGACACTCAGACCACTTGCAACGAAGAAAAGAGTGAGAAACTGAGAGAGAGAGGGAATTATCGAGAACGCCGACAAGTTCTAAAAATTAAACCCACGACCTCAAACCATCTAGGACATGTTCCACGCTGTATTTTTGTCATCGTCGTCATGAAAAAGGAGATCAAAATTAAGTTTCAAAAATATCGTAGATCCGTCATTATAGGTGGCTACAAGCCACGAAAATTCATGGAAGGGAAGAGGAGAAGTCCATAGAGAGATAGGGAGAGAAAATGGAATAGAAAAGGCGTCAGAAAAGTCGCGGAAAGGAGAGAGAAAATTGTGCAAGGAGTCGAGCAAAGAAGAAAAGGTTCGTCGGATCTAGGTCGGACTTGATCCAAACTCGATGCCCAGCAGGTAAGCCTGCGATCCAAAATTCGTTGGCCTAACAGATAGAGGCTGGTCAAGCCTGCGACCCACGTACAATCCGCGCTTGCTCTACAACCCAAAACAAACCTATAAACTCGAGGCCTAATCCTAATTCGACCCAAAATCCAATAATAAACCTAGTAGCCCAAACTCGCAGGAATACTCACCACTCTACAATGACGACTTTGGAAAATATAATATTTGTTAACACATCAGCTTTTATCAATCGCCGTTACAAAAAGTAAACCAATTTTGAATGCGACTAAAATTGTCAAAACAAGATTAAACTTGTTGTTGTTCGGGATCAAACTCATGTCACTCGAGTGACAAGCAGTAATTCTCGCCCTTGTATTAAACCGACCTCTGCAACATAATAACTCGAGTGACAAGCGAAAATACTCACCACTGTACCACTACAACGACCTCTGAAAACATATTATATGTTAATATACAAGATTTCATAAACAATTTTTTAGCCGACTTTCTCTTCAAACACTACCGGGCATTACAGGTTCACCGCAATCCAATTTCGTGTCCCGTTCAAACTACGGAAAGAAAACAACTAAAATCGCCAATGTCGGGGATCTAACCCGAGTTCACCTGCGTGACAGGCAGGAATACGCACCACTATACTACAATAACTCATAAAAAATAAATTATTTCTTAACGCTCCAGATTTTACCAATCGTCTTTAGAAATAGCGATCCATTGTCAATGCACTAGATTTTATCAATCCATTGTCAATGACAATAATAAGTTTATTTGTAAACACACGGGAGAAAAAGAAATCCAATCCCGAATTTCAAATTCAAAAGAAAATTAAAACCAGTCTGCTGCGGCAGATCAAACTAGCAGGAATACTAACCACTCTACCACGACGACTTTGGAAAATATAATATTTGTTAACACATCAGATTTTATCAATCGCCGTTACAGAAAGTAATCCAATTTTGAATGCGACTAAAATTGTCAAATCAAGATTAAACTTGTTGTTGTTCGGGATCAAACTCATGTCACTCGAGTGCATGCAGTAATGCTCGCCCTTGTATTACAACGACCTCTGGAACATAATAACTCGAGTGACAAGCGGAAATACTCACCACTAAACCACTACAACGACCTCTGAAAACAAATTATATGTCAACACACGAGATTTCATAAAGAACTTTTTAGCCGACTTTCTTTTCAAACTACCGGTGTTGGGGATCGAACCCAGACTACTGGCATGACAGGCAAGGATACTCACCACTATACTACAACGACTCATAAAAAATAAATTATTTCTTAACGCTCCAGATTTTACCACTCGTCTTTAGAAATAGCGATCCATTGTCAACGCACTAGATTTTATCAATCGAAGAATCGAAACAGGTAATCCAATTTCAAATCCGGTGAAAATTGTTAATAGAAAATTAAACTTATTATTGTCGGCGTTCAAACTCAAGTCTCTCGAGTGACAAGCGGGAATACTCACTATTGTATTACATCGACCTCTGAAAAATATATTATTTATAAACACACGAGAGAAAAAGGAATCCAATCTCGAATTTCAAATTCAAAAGAAAATTAAAAACAGTCTGGTGCGGCGGATCAAACTCGCAGGAGTACACACCCCTCTACAACGACAACTTTGGAAAATATAATACTTGTTAACACATCAGATTTTATCCATCGTCGTTAAAAAAAGTAATCCAATTTTGAATCCGACTAAAATTGTCAAAACAAGATTAAACTTGTTATTGTTCTGGATCAAAGTCATGTCACTCGAGTTACAAGCAGTAATGCTCGCCCTTGTATTACAACGACCTCTAGAACATAATAACTCGAGTGACAAGCGGAAATACTCACCCCTGTACCACTACAACGACCTCTAAAAACATATTATATGTTAACACACAAGATTTCATTAACAATTTTTTAGCCGACTTTCTTTTCAAAATACCATTGTTCGGGGTCGAACCCAAACTACCGGCATGACAGGTTCACCGCTATCCAATTTCGAGTTCCGTTGAATCTACAGAAAGAAAAACAACTAAAATTGCCGCTTTTGAGGTTTGAACTCGGGGTCACCTAAATGACAGGCAAGAATACGCACCACTATACTACAACGACTCATAAAAAATAAATTATTTCTTAATGCCCCATATTTTACCAATCGTCTTTAGAAATAGTGATCCATTGTCAATGCACTAGATTTTATCAATCGAAGAATCGGAACAGGTCATCCAATTTCAAATCCAATGAAAATTGTCAAAAGAAAATTAAACTTATTATTGTCGGGGTTCAAACTCAAGTCTCTCGAGTGACAAACGGGAATACTCACTACTGTATTACATCGACCTCTGAAAAATAAATTATTTGTAAACACACGAGAGAAAAATGAATCCAATCCCGAATTTCAAATTCAAAAGAAAATTAAAAACAGTCTGTTGCGGCGGATTAAACTCGAAGGAATACTCACCACTCTACTACGACGACTTTGGAAAATATAATAATTGTTAACACATTAGATTTTATCAATCGCCGTTACAAAAAGTAACCGAATTTTGAATGCGACTAAAATTGTCAAAACAAGATTAAACATTTTATTGTTTTGGATCAAACTCATGTCACTCGACCTTTGGAACATAATAACTCGAGTGACAAGTGGAAGTACTCACCACTGTACCAATACAACGGCCTCTGGAGCATTATAACTCGAGTGACAAGCGGAAGAAATACTCACCACTGAAAACATATTATATGTTAACACACCTGAAAACATATTATATGTTAACACACAAGATTTCATAAACAGCTGTTTAGCCGACTTTCTTTTCAAACTACCGTTGTTGGGGATCGATCCCAAACTCCCGGGCATTACAGGTTCACCGCTGTCCAATTTCGAGTTCCGTTAAAACTACGGAAAGAAAAACACTAAAATTGCTGTTGTCGGGGATCAAACCCGAGTCACTTACGTGACAAGCAGGAATACTCACCACTATACTACAACGACTCATAATAAATAAATTATTTTTGAACGCTCCAGATTTTACCAATCGAAGATTTGGAACAAGTAATCCAAATTCAAATCCGGTGTAAATTGTCAAAAGAAAATTAAACTTATTATTGTCGGGGTTCAAACTCATGTCTATCGAGTGACAAGCGGGAATACTCACTACTGTATTACATCGACCTCTGAAAAATATATTATTTGTAAATACACGGGAGAAAAAGGAATCCAATCCCAAATTCCAAATTCAAAAGAAAATTAAAAACAGTCTGCTGCGGCGGATCAAACTCGCAGGAATACTCACTACTCTACAACGACGACTTTCAACAATATAATATTTGTTAACACATCAGATTTTATCAATCGCCGTTACAAAAAGTAATCAAATTTTGAATGCGACTAAAATTGTCGAAGCAAGATTAAACTTGTTGTTGTTCGGGATCAAACTCATGTCACTCGAGTGCAAGCGGGAATGCTCGCCCTTGTATTACAACGACCTTTGGAACATAATAACTCGAGTGACAAGCGGAAATTCTCACCACTACAACGACCTCTGAAAACATATTATATGTTAACACACAAGATTTCATAAACAATTGTTTAGCCAACTTTCTTTTCAAACTTCCGTTGTTGGGGATCGATCCCAAACTACCGGCATGAAAGGTTCACCGCTGTCCAATTTCGAGTTCCGTTAAAATTACGGAAAGAAAACAACTAAAATCGCCGTTGCCGGGGATCGAACCCGGGTCACCTGCGTGACAGGCAGGAATACTCACCACTATACTACAACGACTCATAAAAAATAAATTATTTCTTAACGCTCCAGATTTTACCAATCGTCTTTAGAAAAAGCGATCCATTGTCAACGCTCTAGATTTTATCAATCGAAGATTCGGAACAAGTAATCCAAATTCAAATCCGGTGTAAATTGTCAAAAGAAAATTAAACTTATTATTGTCGGGGTTCAAACTCATGTCTATCGAGTGACAAGCGGGAATACTCACTACTGTATTACATCGACCTCTGAAAAATATATTATTTGTAAATACACGGGAGAAAAAGGAATCCAATCCCAAATTCCAAATTCAAAAGAAAATTAAAAACAGTCTGCTGCGGCGGATCAAACTCGCAGGAATACTCACTACTCTACAACGACGACTTTGAACAATATAATATTTGTTAACACATCAGATTTTATCAATCGCCGTTACAAAAAGTAATCAAATTTTGAATGCGACTAAAATTGTCGAAGCAAGATTAAACTTGTTGTTGTTCGGGATCAAACTCATGTCACTCGAGTGCAAGCAGGAATGCTCGCCCTTGTATTACAACGACCTTTGGAACATAATAACTCGAGTGACAAGCGGAAATACTCACCACTGTACCACTACAACGACCTCTGAAAACATATTATATGTTAACACACAAGATTTCATAAACAATTGTTTAGCCGACTTTCTTTTCAAACTACCGTTGTTGGGGATCGATCCCAAACTACCGGCATGACAGGTTCACCGCTGTCCAATTTCGAGTTCCGTTAAAATTACGGAAAGAAAACAACTAAAATCGCCGTTGCCGGGGATCGAACCCGGGTCGGTCACCTGCGTGACAGGCAGGAATACTCACCACTATACTACAACGACTCATAAAAAATAAATTATTTCTTAACGCTCCAGATTTTACCAATCGTCTTTAGAAAAAGCGACCCATTGTCAACGCTCTAGATTTTATCAATCGAAGATTCGGAACAAGTAATCCAAATTCAAATCCGGTGAAAATTGTCAAAAGAAAATTAAACTTATTATTGTCGGGGTTCAAACTCATGTCTATCGAGTGACAAGCGGGAATACTCACTACTGTATTACATCGACCTCTGAAAAATATATTATTTGTAAACACACGGGAGAAAAAGGAATCCAATCCCGAATTTCAAATTCAAAAGAAAATTAAAAACAGTCTGCTGCGGCGGATCAAACTCGCAGGAATACTCACTACTCTACAACGACGACTTTCAACAATATAATATTTGTTAACACATCAGATTTTATCAATCGCCGTTACAAAAAGTAATCAAATTTTGAATGCGACTAAAATTGTCGAAGCAAGATTAAACTTGTTGTTGTTCGGGATCAAACTCATGTCACTCGAGTGCAAGCGGGAATGCTCGCCCTTGTATTACAACGACCTTTGGAACATAATAACTCGAGTGACAAGCGGAAATACTCACCACTGTACCACTACAACGACCTCTGAAAACATATTATATGTTAACACACAAGATTTCATAAACAATTGTTTAGCCGACTTTCTTTTCAAACTACCGTTGTTGGGGATCGATCCCAAACTACCGGCATGACAGGTTCACCGCTGTCCAATTTCGAGTTCCGTTAAAATTACGGAAAGAAAACAACTAAAATCGCCGTTGCCGGGGATCGAACCCGGGTCACCTGCGTGACAGGCAGGAATACTCACCACTATACTACAACGACTCATAAAAAATAAATTATTTCTTAACGCTCCAGATTTTACCAATCGTCTTTAGAAAAAGCGACCCATTGTCAACGCTCTAGATTTTATCAATCGAAGATTCGGAACAAGTAATCCAAATTCAAATCCGGTGAAAATTGTCAAAAGAAAATAAACTTATTATTGTCGGGGTTCAAACTCATGTCTATCGAGTGACAAGCGGGAATACTCACTACTGTATTACATCGACCTCTGAAAAATATATTATTTGTAAACACACGGGAGAAAAAGGAATCCAATCCCGAATTTCAAATTCAAAAGAAAATTAAAAACAGTCTGCTGCGGCGGATCAAACTCGCAGGAATACTCACTACTCTACAACGACGACTTTCAACAATATAATATTTGTTAACACATCAGATTTTATCAATCGCCGTTACAAAAAGTAATCAAATTTTGAATGCGACTAAAATTGTCGAAGCAAGATTAAACTTGTTGTTGTTCGGGATCAAACTCATGTCACTCGAGTGCAAGCAGGAATGCTCGCCCTTGTATTACAACGACCTTTGGAACATAATAACTCGAGTGACAAGCGGAAATTCTCACCACTACAACGACCTCTGAAAACATATTATATGTTAACACACAAGATTTCATAAACAATTGTTTAGTTGTTTAGCCAACTTTCTTTTCAAACTACCGTTGTTGGGGTTCGATCCCAAACTACCGGCATGAAAGGTTCACCGCTGTCCAATTTCGAGTTCCGTTAAAATTACGGAAAGAAAACAACTAAAATCGCCGTTGTCGGGGATCGAACCCGGGTCGGTCACCTGCGTGACAGGCAGGAATACTCACCACTATACTACAACGACTCATAAAAAATATTTTATTTCTTAACGCTCCAGATTTTACCAATCGTCTTTAGAAAAAGCGGTCCATTGTCAACGCTCTAGATTTTATCAATCGAAGATTCGGAACAAGTAATCCAAATTCAAATCCGGTGAAAATTGTCAAAAGAAAACTAAACTTATTATTGTCGGGGTTCAAACTCATGTCTATGGAGTGACAAGCGGGAATACTCACTACTGTATTACATCGACCTCTGAAAAATATATTATTTGTAAACACACGGGAGAAAAAGGAATCCAATCCCGAATTCCAAATTCAAAAGAAAATTAAAAACAGTCTGCTGCGGCGGATCAAACTCGCAGGAATACTCACTACTCTACAACGACGACTTTCAACAATATAATATTTGTTAACACATCAGATTTTATCAATCGCCGTTACAAAAAGTAATACAATTTTGAATGCGACTAAAATTGTCGAAGCAAGATTAAACTTGTTGTTGTTCGGGATCAAACTCATGTCACTCGAGTGCAAGCAGGAATGCTCGCCCTTGTATTACAACGACCTTTGGAACATAATAACTCGAGTGACAAGCGGAAATACTCACCACTGTACCACTACAACGACCTCTGAAAACATATTATATGTTAACACACAAGATTTCATAAACAATTGTTTAGCCAACTTTCTTTTCAAACTTCCGTTGTTGGGGTTCGATCCCAAACTACCGGCATGACAGACCACTACAACGACCTCTGAAATTATATTACATGTTAACACCCAAGATTTCATAAACAATTGTTTAGCCAACTTTCTTTTCAAACTTCCGTTGTTGGGGTTCGATCCCAAACTACCGGCATGACAGGTTCACCGCTGTCCAATTTCGAGTTCCGTTAAAATTACGGAAAGAAAACAACTAAAATCGCCGTTGTCGGGGATCGAACCCGGGTCGGTCACCTGCGTGACAGGCAGGAATACTCACCACTATACTACAACGACTCATAAAAAATATTTTATTTCTTAACGCTCCAGATTTTACCAATCGTCTTTAGAAAAAGCGGTCCATTGTCAACGCTCTAGATTTTATCAATCGAAGATTCGGAACAAGTAATCCAAATTCAAATCCGGTGAAAATTGTCAAAAGAAAACTAAACTTATTATTGTCGGGGTTCAAACTCATGTCTATGGAGTGACAAGCGGGAATACTCACTACTGTATTACATCGACCTCTGAAAAATATATTATTTGTAAACACACGGGAGAAAAAGGAATCCAATCCCGAATTCCAAATTCAAAAGAAAATTAAAAACAGTCTGCTGCGGCGGATCAAACTCGCAGGAATACTCACTACTCTACAACGACGACTTTCAACAATATAATATTTGTTAACACATCAGATTTTATCAATCGCCGTTACAAAAAGTAATCCAATTTTGAATGCGACTAAAATTGTCGAAGCAAGATTAAACTTGTTGTTGTTCGGGATCAAACTCATGTCACTCGAGTGCAAGCAGGAATGCTCGCCCTTGTATTACAACGACCTTTGGAACATAATAACTCGAGTGACAAGCGGAAATACTCACCACTGTACCACTACAACGACCTCTGAAAACATATTATATGTTAACACACAAGATTTCATAAACAATTGTTTAGCCAACTTTCTTTTCAAACTTCCGTTGTTGGGGTTCGATCCCAAACTACCGGCATGACAGACCACTACAACGACCTCTGAAATTATATTATATGTTAACACCCAAGATTTCATAAACAATTGTTTAGCCAACTTTCTTTTCAAACTTCCGTTGTTGGGGTTCGATCCCAAACTACCGGCATGACAGGTTCACCGCTGTCCAATTTCGAGTTCCGTTAAAATTACGGAAAGAAAACAACTAAAATCGCCGTTGTCGGAGATCGAACCCGGGTCGGTCACCTGCGTCACAGGCAGGAATACTCACCACTATACTACAACGACTCATAAAAAATATTTTATTCCTTAACACTCCAGATATTACCAATCGTCTTTAGAAAAAGCGGTCCATTGTCAACGCTCTAGATTTTATCAATCGAAGATTCGGAACAAGTAATCCAAATTCAAATCCGGTGAAAATTGTCAAAAGAAAACTAAACTTATTATTGTCGGGGTTCAAACTCATGTCTATGGAGTGACAAGCGGGAATACTTACTACTGTATTACATCGACCTCTTAAAAATATATTATTTGTAAACACACGGGAGAAAAAGGAATCCAATCCCGAATGCAAAATTCAAAAGAAAATTAAAAACAGTCTGCTGCGGCGGATCAAACTCGCAGGAATACTCACTACTCTACAACGACGACTTTCAACAATATAATATTTGTTAACACATCAGATTTTATCAATAGCCGTTACAAAAAGTAATCCAATTTTGAATGCGACTAAAATTGTCGAAGCAAGATTAAACTTGTTGTTGTTCGGGATCAAACTCATGTCACTCGAGTGCAAGCAGGAATGCTCGCCCTTGTATTACAACGACCTTTGGAACATAATAACTCGAGTGGCAAGCGGAAATACTCACCACTGTACCACTACAACGACCTCTGAAAACATATTATATGTTAACACACAAGATTTCATAAACAATTGTTTAGCCAACTTTCTTTTCAAACTTCCGTTGTTGGGGTTCGATCCCAAACTACCGGCATGACAGGTTCACCGCTGTCCAATTTCGAGTTCCGTTAAAATTACGAAAAGAAAACAGTCTGCTGCGGCGGATCAAACTCGCAGGAATACTCACTACTCTACAACGACGACTTTCAACAATATAATATTTGTTAACACATCAGATTTTATCAATCGCCGTTACAAAAAGTAATCCAATTTTGAATGCGACTAAAATTGTCGAAGAAAGATTAAACTTGTTGTTCGGGATCAAACTCATGTCACTCGAGTGCAAGCAGGAATGCTCGCCCTTGTATTACAACGGCCTTTGGAACATAATAACTCGAGTGACAAGCGGAAATACTCACCACTGTACCACTACAACGACCTCTGAAAACATATTATATGTTAACACACAAGATTTGATAAACAATTGTTTAGCCAACTTTCTTTTCAAACTTCCGTTGTTGGGGTTCGATCCCAAACTACCGGCATGACAGGATCACCGCTGTCAAATTTCGAGTTCCGTTAAAATTACGAAAAGAAAACAGTCTGCTGCGGCAGATCAAACTCGCAGGAATACTCACTACTCTACAACGACGACTTTCAACAATATAATATTTGTTAACACATCAGATTTTATCAATCGTCGTTACAAAAAGTAATCCAATTTTGAATGCGACTAA